AGCAGCTTGGAAATGATGCAATAAATTGCAATGCAAGCTGCGGTTAAAGCTGGTTTAGATGAGTGCAGGTTATGCAAAGAATTTAAGTGAATCAAATTAAGTATACTTTATCCGTAACCTGAAGCGATTTCCAGTCTTATTTTTACTAGATTTATTAATAGCATTCCTAAAAAACTGAATCTTGTAAAATATTTGTTTAAAACTTAAGAAGTCTTTAGTTTTAAATAGTAATTAATATGCAATTGATGATAGACATTTTTAAAAATCTATTAAAGATGTGAATAAATATAAAATAAATTTTATTTTATAAGTTTCTTTAAGTTTTTATTACTTGACCAATGCCATTTAATAAATTCGTTTAGTATTTATAGAATTTTTCTAATATGCTAATGTTGAAACTGAGTCTACTATATATATACGATATATGAAAGGAATTATGTCTGAAATAAAAAGATATTCCGACCTTTCTCAGTTTATAAATATTGTCATCATTCGAGCAAAAGTGAGATCTGATTCAATTTGCAAATTCTTCAAATGCAGTTGATTGATAAATTCTATAAATAGTGATTGGCAACAGGCAGCAGCTGTCCGGTGAAATAAACTGGGTTACTTAGGGGCTGTAAATCAACTATATATCAACTGACCCCCCAACCGATCGGATGGAGTGCTTTTGACTGGGACAAACAAGACAGGCAGCTAGCTGCGTGGTCGCATTCATACGAAATTTAATTTAGGGGCGGGTTCTGAGAGCCCACACTCTCGACTTAGCCATAGTTGGAGTTTGCCCCAAAGGCATGGCTGCTGCTCATAGACACCATTAAGTGGATTGTATAACTGCTTACAACGTTCCTATATAGTTTTCGTACTGTTTTTTGTTTTTTTGGTGGGGCTTCAAGACAAACAGGAAATGCCGCAGCCAAAAAATCGTTGACCGAAAAAGGCAAACACTTTTTTTTTTGCTTTTACTCTTTTTAGTTTTTTTTGTTGCCTAGCTGTTTTTTATTTTTTTGCAAGTTACGAAAAGTCAAACAACTAACGAAATTTAATACAATTTTGTACGGCAAACTGCTGTTGTTGTTGTTTGTCAGCTGCTTCCCACCGCCAAAAAAATCTGCGGGCTTTGCTCGAAATCTGACAGCGAGCTGTCAGTCAGAATGCCCCTCCAATTTCCCCCTTCGGAAATATCTGAGTGGGTGTTTTCAATCCCGTGAGGCACTCGAATATCTTTCGGCTGCTCTCTGTGTAATTCAATAGTCGCCGGTTGCCGTTGGCGGGTCACATTCTTGGAATTGATTGTGCCTAATGAAATGTTTCATTAGCTGAATATAGGGTTTCATGTTTTGCGCGGCTGCCGTGTTTGCGGAATTTGAGCAATTAGAAATTATTATTTGCTTCGGTTAGCAGCTGAGCGGTTTAAAAAAGCTCATTGACAGAGCTTATTGACATGAAGTTTGCGACGTGTAATTACTAAATAACAGATTTGGCATTAATATAAAAGTCCCCGCTCAGTGGGAAACCATTTGGGGCCTTTCAAAAAAATAAAAAAAATAAAAAAGGTTTATATCTCAATATAATTAGTGCTTAATCACAAAATTAATTGACTCAAAAGGTCTTTTTTTTATCGTTAATCCTGCAAGTTTGTGTCTTAAGTCATTCGTTTTTCTCTAGAATTTTAGAGATGTGGTGATTATATTATTCAATATGTTCTAAATTAAAGAATAATTTGTTTATATTCTAAATGTTATTTGTCTCAACATTTTTTGATACAAGCTTTTTAATTTTGTGTAAAGATGTATGTATGTTTTTTGGGAATAAATTTAAAGTAAATTACATTATTTGCTAATCAAGAAGCTCGTTTTGCTGTTGCAGAGTACTCAGTTTTTATGAATCATCTTTGTTGTTCTCAGATTCCGCAAATTTGTTTTGAAATTCTTTTAAGCTGGATTTCCCATTTTAGGATATTTTTGTTTACAAAAGTATACAATTTGGTTATAACAGTCGAACACAGTTTTTCTTAGAAACGCAAAACATATGCATGCAAGTGAATCATATTAGTATTTCCTCCAAATAGTCGAAAAATATTTTCAGCTTCAACTAGATTTTTCACTCTCAATTTCGGTAGATTTTCTTGCCACATGAATCATGCTACTTGTCTTAAAGATTATTTATTCGAAGCGGATTCGGCCGCAACTTGGCATTGCTGGACATTCAAGCCGTCCGTCTGCGACTTGAACTAGATTTTCCTCAGTCATTTCTGTGGGTTTTCATGCCACATGATTCATGGCACCCATCCCCCAGGCGGAAGCAGCCAACAGCCAACAGCCGCATAATCTAATCGAAAACGGGGAAATAGCAAATAGAAATCCATCACAACATGCACTCCCCAGCGAGTATGCAAAAACACTCCCCGAAAAAAAACTAAAAACCACCAAATCGGAACCAACCCAACTGAGCAAAAACAAATGCGATCCACATGAGTCGGGCATGGGATCGATTTGAAAGGCTATGGGCTTCATTAGCTCTTTGTTCGTGCTCAGAATGCAGGCAAAAAAAAAATAGACATACAAATAAAATTGGAATTTTCCCCGCTTCATTTATCATCTCTGGTAAATTTGGAGCGAACTGTGATCGTAATTGAAGTCGGCTTTAATTAAAAAGTGAACTGTGATCAGGCGAAGGTCACCAACAATGGGGAATTATGATTGCTTTGTTTCTAGCATTTTGCAGAATTCTTTGTTCAGCTCCATTTTTTTGGGGTCAGCCGAGCAATTTTAGGTTGCGTAAGTTACAAAAGGGGGGTCCATAAAGTGGATGAAGAGGCTGCGGGGGCGATGGTTGCGCAACAGAAAGAAACTCTTTTTTTTTGTTACCGTTTCGACAGGCAGACGGAGCGGCAGCAACAACAACAACTAACGACTGACAATAAAGTAAACAAAATTGCGCGCTAAGGAAAACGTGATTTTCCACTTTTGATCGCGCCCAAAAGGAGTTCGCCTCGTCGGGAGTCATCTCGTGCGATTCTCACGTAACCACAGACTCCGCAGCGGCAGCAAAATGCAGCTCCAAATGCATCGGCAACATATGTTGCAGAGTCCAACCGGTTGGTTAACCTGGCCGACCGGGCTCCCAAATCGGGCCCGCAAATTTCATTGAGAGATCGCCCCGCCGGTGGCCACTTTTACTCTCGTTTTGGCCAAACACAGCGGAAACCGTCGCAATAATTTGCTCGCAATTTATTTCGTTGCGTTAGGCGATCAAATAAATCTCCATCTGCTCGCACGGAGCTTGTAGATACTGGCAGTTATGGCCACTTCGACTCTGACACGCGAATATCTCGCAAATGGACCGCAGTTTGCTTTATTTTTTTGGGGAAGTGGTTGGTTTAGAGTCTGGTTATAGTTTTCTTATATTATGTCATAGGTTTTTGGGGGGAAATTCAATTAGCTATAGGAGGGGATATTATTTAATTATCTTAAGAATACAGCTTAAGAGAAAGAATAACTTAAGACGACTTTCAAAAGGCTTTTTAAATGTTTTGTTTACTATACAAATGAAAAAATGTTTAGGTTTATATATAAAACAAATTATTCTCAATATTGCGAACTGGTAGCAATAACAAAAAAAAACGTTCCTGGTATTGTATTTTATAAATATCCTAAAATATGTTTGTTTTAACCATGACTAATATATTTATTTTGTAAGGCTCAAAGTATTATAATTGTTCCAAAAAATTCTTAGTCACTCTCACATAAAAAACATTTTTATTATTTAATAATTGTCTTGAATAAATCTTTGTTCTGTTTCCAAAAATGTTTGAGTGGGCAAAATAAGAAAGTGCTAAAAGAGAACTTACATTTTTGTGCTGATGTAATAAGTGTCTCCTTAACATATGATTAATAGCTAAGTTTAGTCAGGTGACAGACTAAGTCATAAATCAATGATATTATATGCATATATCGCATATAGGAGGGGCTAACAAAAATCCCATTTTAAGGGAAGTTCATTCTTTGCGGTTCAATTATTTTGATTATTCCGAAAAGTGTCTCAACAACAATTAATTAAAGTGCCATAAATTGCGTCGAGCCAAGACGTACATATAATAAGCCAGTAACGAGCACGAAATTAAAATAAAAAAGTCAGCGACAGCCGAAATTGGTCAGTAAACTTGGCTCAGACCTGCTTCACCCACACCGAAAACCCCCTCCTTTTGAGCCAATGGAAATTTATGACGGAATGCTGAAAGTAATTGAAGCGTAAATGATTAAACGTGCGGGTGGCTCATACATTAGAATAATTGCCAGAAGTATTATTATTCGAGCTCCAACCTTAACCATGAGCGCGGGCAAACCGACTAATGCCAATCCCTCAAGTAAAGCCAAATCGAGTCATCTGCATTACGCATACGCTACGTGAACCGGTTCAATAAGCTGATGTTGTTATTAATTCAGCTGCCACTGGTGCTGCTGCTGTGGAAAACACTTTCACATACTGCATTTCCGCACGCGGCTTGCTGAAATGTTGCACAACCGCATCTCGTGCCATTGATTCCTCTTTGGCCAGTGTCACCTTGACTCTGAAACGTGCCACACACTGTCAGAAATAGTTGGTGAGGAGAAGGCAATATTAAAAGATTAATAAGAAATGGTTTATTGGTCAGTAAGGTTCAATTTCTAAACTATTTATTTTATTGTCAAAAAAATTGCCACTGCTATATATTAATCTTTTGTAATAAACGTAAATCTATTTATCATTAAACAATCAAATCAACATTTTCAATGGGAAATTACCGAGTAGTCGTAATGATTTGATATTAAAGCAATATCATACTCGTTGGTGCCCATAAACTAAATATTATTTTCCTATCTGAACCTAAGTTGCCCCACCGGAAAGCCGCCAATGGTTTTGTTGACTGCCTGTTTTGGTTTGGGGCAGCAGCCGGCGGATGTGATTAGTTAGAAATACCCAATCCTCCAAACAACTCATCGAAACTTTCCTTTCAGCTGGCGCTGGTGGCCCTGGCAGCGGTTGTTTCTGGCAGCCAGGCCCCAAGTGCGAATCAATACCACATCCAGACGGACGAGGGACCGGAGCGGTACTTCCGCTTCCAGACGGACAGCGGTCAGTTCCGCAAGGAGAAGCGGCTGCAGGATGGCACTGTCATTGGTGAGTGATCGAAGGCATATAAGCTGAGGGAGTTCATTAAACCTTTTGTGTACTCCATTTATTTCCAAAGGCACTGAGGCCTGGATCGATGCGGCGGGCTATCTGCGCCAGAAGGACTACATAGCCGACAAGCAGGGATACAGGATACTTAAGTCCAAGACCATCTATGTGGGGCTAGGAAGATCAGTCGAGGTAAAGTTATATTTTAATCAAAAAAGAGCCCTCTTAAATGAAAATGATTCGAAATTAAATATTTTTCATATAAACTATACAATCAGAGGTGGTTAAAAATGATTTAGGCTCCTAAAAATGTATTAATTAAATATTGTTCTCCATTTGACAAGTATAATAAGTTTCATTACATATTGGTTAGATAATTGAAAATAATGAAAACAAATCACTAGATAAGTACTTTAAAAATAACTAAATTTGTTTAAAGACAAAACCCTAATTTTTCTTTATTTTAATGCTAACCTTATGTGATTTCTTTTTTTTCTTAGGACGCCATCAAATCCACCAAAGCAGCTCCTGCCCAGTCGGGTGTCTTGGTCCATGGCGGCTCCTCGGGATCTTCGGGAAACAGCCTGGGTAGCTATCAGCGTCCCAACTATGGCTACATATCCAGCACCACCTCCACCACCACTCCCGCTCCTCTACCGTCATCCATTCTGGATATTGTGGACTCCGGCGTGGGCAAGCTGAATTACCTGCCCCCCGAACAAGCTGCCAAGATTGAGCCGCAATCACAGCTCGGATTCGATCACTATCCGGATGAATTGCCAAGGGCCAGGGATCAGTTATTGTCGCCCCTTCCGGCCACGCCCCTTAATCCGCTGGTGGACATTCACCCCAATGCCGAGCCTGTGCAGGAGTTGGAACTGAATGCCATCAATGTGTACGATGCCGAGGCTGATCGAGCTTTTGGCCATGGACAGTTTGGATCGGTTATAAGTTCGACCACGGCCAGGCCACCACCTTCTCTGGATATGCTACCCCCGCTAAGTTCCCACAGGCGTCGCCTGCGTCCGCGTCCAACTCCAGCTCCCGTGGCCATTGTTTCCAGTACACCAGCACCCATTTCTGGCGGGGATTCGTATGGCTACTCCACGCCGCAGCCATTTGCTGCCCCTGCCTATCAGTTTGCCCCGCCTGCCACTTCCGCGAGTACGGGATACGGTTACTATCCTCCGCCGCAGTCGCCACTGGAGGTCAACTCCCTGGAGGCAGCTCTGCTTCCGCCCCTGCCCTCTTCCCACGGCTACCGACGACGCCTCCGTCCAAGGCCAGTCCAGAGCAACCACCTGGAGGGATTGGCCGCCTCCGAGTACGATGGCGTGGGCGTGACCCGTAATGGATTCCGTTACGTGTTACCCAAGCAGTATCACGAGGAGGAGACGAATCCGGCGGATGGCAAGCGAGCGGGCAGCTTCGGATACGTGGATCCCTTCGGAATCCGGCGGGTGGTCTACTATAATGCAGCTCCCGGCAGGGGATTCGTCCATCGGAATAACAACCAGTATGTGGGCGCCAATGGAGCGCCCTACGATGCTCCGGGTCCAGCGCAACTGGTCAACGAATAGAGACTAGGGAATAGGATCATTGATGGAGATTAGTGTGGGTCGATCTCTGGGACAAGAAGTATAAGTAAATTTGCCTCAGAAACTATAGGTTTAATATGATTTTATAATTTGCAAAAATTAAATAAGTAAAATAATCATTGAAGTCTTTAAAGAGAATCTATCAAAGAGGCAATAAATCGATGAATTGTTTTTAGTGAATCGAAATATTCAGTATTCGTTTAAAATCATTGATATTCTGAATATAATATCTATAGTTTCTTAGGTAAAGTTTTTATAACTTGAAAGAGAAATCGACCCATGCTAAGGCAGGTGCTGCACTTAACCCGACTCCCGACTCACTCAACGAGGCACCAAAACTAACCGTAGAACCTCAACCAGGGGGAAGTCCCCCTTTTAATATTAACCTGTACATATAACCACGCTTAAAGCTTTCCCTTCTTTTCATTTCTTTCCTTCACGCACACACAAAGAAAACGACATCTGTGTTAATTAATTTAATGCTTAAACACATCTAAACATTAGTAACATTATTTATAAATCGAAACTCTGTGCAATTAGCGCTTATCATAGGTATTTTAGGGGCACTCACTGCCACACACAAAAGAGGGATACTCATTAGCCCTCTAATCAAATTGTGCAAGTGATTGGGGAGTAATCGTTTCACGTATTAATCTTGCCATATTAACGAAAAGTAAATAATTAAAGCTCTCTGTTCATCCCTGGAAAATCCCCCTTCGCCCCTTAGCGTAATTAAATATGTACGATTAAACCGTTAACGATAGCCGTTTCTTGGCCAATAGCTGTTCATTTGGTAGGAATGAACACCCGTTGCCTGGAAATTTTAGCCAAGTAGTGCGAAAAATTATTTTTTGTTTTGTTAAGAAGCTTGATGATAATAAAAAATTATTTAAATGAAAAATCTTGTGTTGCCTTTTATTTATTGGACATTTATAGCAAAAAGCCCGAAAAAATCAACTCGATTTTCGGTTTTTTTATCACTATCATGGGAAAAAATGATCAGATCTTCGAATGCCATACGTCGTTGAATTCGTTACAAAATTTTCAATCCATTGGCATTCTCAGTTTAAAAATTTTATTTTGGGCCAATTTTGGAAAAATGTGTAAAAAAATAAAAATTTCCAAATCGAACAGGAATTGATAGTTTAGGTCAACAGCTGCACAAAAAAGTCATTCTTCTGGATGTCATTCCCATTTTTGCCATGTTAGAACTAAAAAACCCTAAAAATGTTTTGATTTATAACCAAAAGTCCGAAATAATCAATTCGAACTTCGGTGTTTTTAATAAAACCTTGGGAAACAATGCTCAAATGTTGAAATGTCATACCCTGTTATATTCTTCTTAAAAATTTGAATCGATTGGCATTTACAGCTAAAAAATTTAATTTTTAACAAATATTTCCAAAAAAATTGATTTATACAATATATGAAAATAGGTCAAACTCAGTCCCCTACTAGATTTCCCATATAAAGCAGCCTAAGCCCAAAACTTCAGTTCGCTGTCACCGTTCGGCGTCGATTCACAATAATCACAACGATATCGTAGGGAAAACAAATCCGATTGAAACCTTATCAGTGCGACAAACACATTACCCGGCGAATCTTATCGCTACCCACAAAAGTGACTCAGTGGTTGAAGGAAAGTGGAGCGATGAAGACCTGGTTTTTGCTCCCGGTATTCCTCTTCTTGGGGACTTTTTGCCCCTCGAAGGCGGCGAATATCCTGTGCCTGGTGAGCACGGCCCAGCACAATAATCCCGGCTGGTCGAAGCCCCTTGTTGACGCCCTGGTGGCCAATGGTCATACCTTACTGGTGATCAGTACTGCTCCCAATCCGGAGCCCAAGAAGCAAGTGGATGGTCTGCTGTACTACCACCTGCCCAACGATTACGATGTGATGAAGAAGCACTTCATTCGCGAGGATACGCAGGAGTACCAGGAGATGATGACCCTGAAGCAGTTGCTGGTGTGGTACGAGGTGCTCTTGGGCAGCTGCCGTTCCATCCTCAACTCGGGTACCATGAATAGCTTGATGCCCGAATTGACAGCCCAATTGGCCGTGGACTTCGATCTGATAATTACCGACGTCACCCATGGAATGGAGTGCCTGATGGACGCGGTTCCCATGTGGCGCTCCAAACCGGTTCTTGGACTGAGTGCGGGTAAACTTACCCCGGATCTGATCTCCCTGGTTCAGGCGGAGAATACCATTAGTCCGGCCAGGACACCACATTATATCAGTGAAATGCCCAAGAAGATGAGCTTCTGGAATCGACTGCACAACCACATTATGTATTATGCAGAGCCACTGTGAGTTGTTCTGTGTATTCTAAACTATTTCTAGTTTATATATTTATTCCTTACCTTTAGAATCCGCTTAGTAGTAATTAACCCTGTGCTCAATGGTCTGGTGACCACTGAAAATGCCTACCCCAATTTACAACTAGTGCTGCTAAACACACATCCAGTCCTGGACTATGTGCAAAATCTTCCTCCCGGAGTCATCGAAGTGGGTGGACTCCACATCAAGAGCGAGGTCAATCCTCTGCCCACTTATATACAGGAATTCACTGAGAAATTCATCGATGGCATCGTGTACATCAATATGCCCTATATTGAGTATATGAAAGGCCAGGGAAGACAAGCTTTGATTAAGATGATACTAAACAATCCAAGCTGTGGGTTTATTTGGAATGTGGAACAGCTGAAGCAGATGCCACCAGAAATATCTAATTTATTAACACTCAATGTGAATCAGTCACTGCAGCAGGATATTTTGGGTAAGACCTTAAAGGCTTATAATATTTGTAAAAACTTTATATGGTTTTTCTCTAAAATGTGTAGCTAAACCTTATGTGAAGGGTTTTCTGAACCATGGTGATAGTTTCAGTCTTCTGGAGGCGGTTCATAATGGGGTGCCCTTGGTTGTGCTACCCCTCAAACTGGAGGAATTTAATGTGAGTTAACTAAATCAAATTTAGTTTAAATTAAATTATATAAGTCTTTTTTCTATAGAATGCCCAGCGTGTAATGGAACGCAAGCTAGGAGTGGTGGTTCAGACCAACGGATTTAATCAGAAAACCCTGTCTAACGCTCTAAAGCAGATCCTGGATGACGAATCATTCACCAATGCCCTCTACCAGGCTCAGTTGAAATTCAGGACACGTCCGCAGTCCGCTTTAAAATTGGCACTTTGGCATGTGGAACAACTAATCCGCGAACCACGTTTCTACAAGGATTTCGCACAAACTGAGGCTCTAACACAAAACTTCTTTGTGGCCCATTCCGTGGATGTGATGATCGTTCCATTCATTATCCTCCTGGCTGTGGCCGTGAACCTAGGCCACTTGGTCATAGTCCTTTTCACCAGGGGTTCCAAAGCTCAGCAGGTGCCAAAAGAAAAGGAGGAGCTCAAAGGTGAGGTACCCAAAAAGCGCAAAAAGGTAAAGAAGAATTCGAAGAGTGGCGCTCCACTCAATATAACACTGAAAGAAGAGTCCACCGATTTAATTGAAGATTTGAATGAGGAGATACTCAAAGGGGAGAAGCAACTACTTGACGAGGAGGAAAAGCCTTCCCTAGAAAAAAAAGAGGACTAAACATTTTATCAGTTTTTCTCTATTTTCATGTACCATATTATGCCAAAAAAAAGACTGCCAATAAATAAATGTAAAGATCTCCCAAACATTGACATATTTGTTTCGCAAATCCCGCTTTCTGGTATTTAACCTACTAAGCTAAACTTAAACTAAGCTACCTTATTTGGAGAAAAGTCCATTAATATGCTAATTAAGTAAAGCAAAATTTGAAGATTGGTCATCTTTAGTTGTTGACACCTACAATCTGTGAGAAATTAGTTTCCCATTTTGCATTTATTTATTTATTTATTCAAACCATGTCTAGAATATGCTTCAAAATAGTTTTGAACTAAACAAATTTGTAATTAAGACTAATTTATTTGTATAATGCAAAATTGCTTAGGTTTCTTAAAATAGTAATACATCGTTTTATATTTATATTTATTTTTATTAAAGTGTCTTTAGTTATAATTATATTTTATGTTCATCCCAAAAGTAGACTACATCGTATGACTTCTTCCATTTTACTCTCTTAAATCCCAGAGAGCGTATACTTGTTAAGAGAAGGCTATCGCAGGTAAATGGATCGGAAATAGATTCACCACAGGTAGGCACGATCTCCAGTCCCGATTTCGTTTTTATGTATTTTTGCCAGAATGCTGAGCCAGCCATAAATACCCTCAGTCCCACGTAACCTTCAGTGCATTTCGAGAATTTGCCGCGAAAAGAACAGAGAACCAGAAAATGCTGACCAAACTGTTGAAGATTAGCTGCACTTCGAGGCAGTGCACCTTCGCCAAGCCTTATCAAGCGATTCCAGGACCACGAGGTCCTTTAGGGATGGGTAACCTGTACAACTACCTGCCCGGCATCGGATCCTATTCCTGGCTGAAGTTGCACCAGGCCGGACAGGATAAGTATGAGAAATATGGTGCAATCGTCAGGGAAACTATAGTTCCCGGCCAGGATATAGTCTGGCTCTATGATCCCCGGGATATCGCATCCCTGCTCAACGAGCGCGATTGTCCGCAGAGAAGGAGTCACCTGGCACTGGCCCAATATCGTAAAAATCGACCGGATGTCTACAAGACCACCGGCTTACTGCCCACCAATGGTCCGGATTGGTGGCGTCTGCGTGCCCAACTGCAAAAGGAACTGAGTGCCCCAAAGAGTGTGAGGAACTTCGTCTGCCAGGTGGATGGAGTGACCAAGGAGTTTCTCAGATTTCTACAAGACTCGCGGGAGGGAAATGCCATCGATATGCTGCCCAAACTCACCAGATTGAATTTGGAATGTGAGTACAGATTCAAAAAACATTAAATATTCTAGCAAGTATTTGAAATGCAAATGTTAAATGTGGCAATTTCCTGTTCGATTGAATTTCTTGGAAAAGGTATATTTTAAAATCCCGTTCCTTGGTCTATAATAATGTCATGTTTATTTGTATATTTATATTTGCAAATATGTATAAAACTATCTGGCGACCTAAAATTTAGCTTAGAAATCAGTGACTTTATAAAAGAAGTTTTTGAAAATTTTTTGATAAATATTCCATTAAGTATTTGTAATTCTAATTTAGATCTAAGTAATTTTTCGTTCATTTGAATTTTTTTAAAGAAAGTTTCTTCTATAAATAACATTTGTGGATCTATGATAAAGTCAGTTTATTTTTTAAACGCACAAGTGCGCTTTTACTAAATAGGATTCGGTGGTAATGAAAATACTATATAAAACACTATACTCCTCATAACACCAGACTACGGTTTCTATTAGATTTTAATAAATAAGTATTGTTTTTTAGTGACCTGCCTGCTTACTTTTGGGGCCCGTCTGCAGTCCTTTTCTCCCAAGGAGCAGGATCGTGAATCCCGATCCACCCGCTTGATGGAGGCAGCAGAGACCACCAATAGCTGCATCCTGCCCACTGACCAGGGTCTCCAACTTTGGCGCTTCCTGGAGACTCCTAGCTTTCGAAAACTTAGCCAGGCCCAATCCTACATGGAGGGAGTGGCTCTGGAGCTGCTGGAGGAGAACATAAAGAACGGCTCAGTGGGATCCTCACTGATCTCCGCTTACCTTAAGAACCCCGAACTTGATCGCAGTGATGTGGTGGGCACTGCTGCAGATTTGCTTTTGGCTGGCATCGATACCACCTCATATGCCTCGGCATTCCTGCTCTATCATGTGGCCCGGAATCCGGATGTTCAGCAATTACTCTACGAGGAGGCCAAGCGGGTGCTTCCTAATCCTAAAGAGCAGCTATCTATGGATTCCCTGAGAACGGATATCACATACACGAGGGCTGTCCTCAAGGAATCTCTGCGCCTGAATCCCATTTCGGTGGGAGTGGGCAGAATACTTAACCAGGATGCGATCTTCAGTGGTTATTTTGTGCCGAAAGGGGTAAGTATTGCACTGACAGAAGATAATGTATTCACATTAAGTACGTTTCTCTCAAGATAATATTACTGCATTAAATATTACTTAAGTTCTAAATTAATCAATATGCATACTCAATTCCCAGACCACTGTAGTGACCCAAAACATGGTAGCCTGTCGCCTGGAACAGCACTTTCAGGACCCACTTCGCTTTCGGCCGGATCGGTGGCTGCAGCACCGGAGTGCCCTAAATCCCTACCTAGTTCTGCCTTTTGGCCATGGAATGCGGGCCTGCATCGCCCGTCGTTTGGCCGAGCAGAATATGCACATTTTGCTCCTCAGGGTGAGTAAACACTAAAAGATCGGCACTTTTCGGTCTGCAACTTATTCCAAATTATTTATTCGATTTTATAGCTGCTGCGTGAGTACGAATTGATTTGGAGCGGATCTGATGCAGAGCTGGATGTCAAGACCCTGCTAATAAATAAACCCGATGCTCCCGTGCTGATCGAACTGCGATCGCGTACTGAATAAGTTTTAAATATAATACCCCCAGAGGAAAGAGACTGAGAGACAACAGACTTTTATCACTTTTAAATAATTGGTTTATTAATTACATATATTAAATTAGTTTATAATTATAATTAGTGTAAATTAAATATAACTAGACTTGCATTTAATGTGATTGAAAGGCTGCGGGTGTTTTGGTCTAAGTACTAAAGAGAACGACAAAAAGGCATTCATCGAAAATTCATCCAAAGGGGTATACTAGATGGGGTTGCCAAATACTTGAGCAAGTGGGTATATTTTCCCAAAAAGAAATTCAAATTTGTTAACCAGATATTTTCTTCCGAGTATTTTGTGCTCTTTTTTTTGTATACATGTTTTCAGCATAATGACAACCCATTTCAGGGGCTTTAATGTGTAAGTATGTAATGACTAAATATTCCAGTACAATGTTTAGTTAAAGATATACTCGTAATGCAGATTGTTACTATATATGGCTCTATAAAAGTGGTCCGACCAAGCCCCTTCCTTCTGTATTCCCTTCTTGCCTTAAGCTCAACTCGAGTGAAAACCGTACATATACAAACTATATAGACTACTTCCTGTTTCGCTCTTGTTCAAGATCAAGTCAAAAAAATATATTTATGTGTGTGGGGCTATATACTGCTATATACTGATACTCGTACGATTCTAGTCTGATCTAACCTATAAGGACTTTGGTTGTTTGCCGCACTACACGCTAGGATGATTGGTGAAAAAATACATCTAGATATACACATACTTTGAACTCCACTTCTTCTATGTTCGAAAAATAAATGTTTATCGGTCCTGTTTTGGTCTTTCAATTTTACAAAATTCTTTCGATTTCAAATCGTTTTATCAGTCTGGTTAAAAAAAACGGTTGTATATATGGTTCTTATCAATTAAATCTATGTGCAGAAACTATTCAAGAATCTTCAATACATTAATTTGATTTCTTTTAATACCGAGTAATAATAAAAACCTCATCGATTTGATTTCGATTTGAAATCGAAAAGAATTTAGATAGAAAACCAAAGCAGTCCTTTTATCCCTTCTGATTTGTGAGAAGACTTTTCCAGGAAGCGTTTCGAGTCTTCTGCTCTATGGCTATCGTTGAATATGTGTTCGATGAAGGATAAGATATGGGTCCGGATTGATGTCCTGCTGCTTTCGTTCAGTTTATAGTTCCAGCAGCAGGACCTCCTCATGCTAGAGGATGTTGAGCAGGGAGGAGTCCATCATCCGATCGTCGTACAGACTCAGTGTCTTGCTGGCCCTGGCTTTCCGCACGGATGGTGGCACATCGCCAGGCGTTTTCACCCGTTCGCTGGGATCCCTCAACCGCTCGCTGCTCCCCCGGCCGCTGAAGACCTCGCGGAACACCTCCAGGCTGTGCTGGCGGCGCATCTGCTGCTCCGTCGGAGGACCCTGACCCGTGCTGACCATCAGGGAGTTGGTGCGCAGGTGGCCGGGTCTTCGTTTCGGCGCTGGACGCGTGAGGGTCTGCAGTTCGCTACCATGACTCTGGATGGAGTTGTTATTGGTGCTCCCGTTGATGTGCTTGATCAGGCTGCTGGACAGCGAACGGGGCACAATGTGGGCTGGGGTTCCTGTCCGCTGCTCGGCACTTCGCAGTTGAACCGGCGTGGGTTTGTCCAGGCGTGGACTCAAGTCCAGGTTGTTGGGGCGACGCAGAGCCGTCACCAGATTGGACTTCTCCTCGCCCAACTGCAACTGGCGGCACAGTTCCTCCGCATGCTCCTTGCGGAAGAGCTTCTTATTGATCAAGGCTCTGACGCCATGCCATCCCCTTAGCTTGTGATCCGTGTTCTGCTGCTTGGGAAATCCCTGACCCAAGCTGGAATTGGTATTTCCACTCGAGCTGACAATCGTGTTCTTCTGCTGCTGCTGCTGGTGATGATGGCTGGCTATCAGCTCCTCCACACTCACATCGTGCTCCAGGCAGGAGAGCGAGTTCTCCTGCGGCTGTGTCTGGAAACTGTGCTTCTTGCTCCGCTCCACCAGCACTGGAGGAGTTCGAAGGGGCAGGGGTGCCAGGTTGCGTTCCTGGCAGGGATTCCTGCCCTGATACGGCTGCAACTGCTGTTGCGGGTAGCTCAGGTGGTTCTTCTCCCGCTCCAAGGCAGCCAAAGGTAGCTGCTGATTGGGAGGTGGCTGTATGAGTCCTGTGGTGTCCGAGCTCATCTGATGATGCACTGCAGCCGCCGTTGTCGTTGTAGTTATGACATTAAACCCCTAGGAGAACATAAAAACATTTATAGTAGTTTCTAAGACACATATACTTATTGTCCTCACCTGTTCCACGTTGGTGGTGGCCACCAGATTGTTGGTGTTCAGCAGTGGACTAGCGGGCTGAGCTTGGGCTCGTGGTCTTAGACCCGACATCTCCTGCATCCGCTCCTCGGCACACAAGGAGGTCAACCTGGCATCCGCATCATGGTCCCAACAGTCCTCGCAAGTATCTCGCACCACCTTTGCGGCTGCACCACCACCCCATCCTGCGGGAAATAGGGGACGCGCCTTGTGCCGCACCACCAGTGCCTGCATCTGGTCGAAACTGGGATGAGAGCCCACCTCCTGCTCATAGGGAGCCTTGTACGGGGGCGTCGTCTGTCCAGGAGCATAGAAGTCCGAGCAGCGGGTGGCCACTTCCCAGAGCACCAGGCCCAGGGCATACACATCCATTTGCTTTAGTGAGGTTTCACAATCTCGTAGATTTACTGCTCCCTCAAGCAATTCGGGAGCCATGTAGCGAAGGGTGCCCACCTCATTGATGCTCTTCGTCTCCGCCATGGCCACCTCGCCCTTGTACTCGTACTTGGAGCCAAAGACCTTCAGGGCAAAACCAAAATCAGCGATGCAGCAGCTGAGATCCGCCTGGACGAGCACATTCCGGGTATTGATGTCCCGATGGGCCACACAGGGCTTATGCTGATCCCCCAACCGGAGTTCCGTGTGCAGATGGGAGATTCCACGCGTGATGGAACGCAGCATCCCACAGCATTGGCTAAAGGTCAAAGTGTTGGCTATCAGCCAATCCTGGAGGCATCCCAGTGGAGCCAGGGAAAGTACCAGCTGGTATTCCATCCGGCCGTCCATCGTGCAGCGTTCATCGTAGCCTGGAATGAAGATTGTATTATAAATATATATGGTTTGAATTGCAATATTCGGTATATCATTTATAACATACCGAAATAACTCAACAGTGCTGGACATTCCATTAAAGGCAGTGCGTAGATATTCCTCTCGTTCACATAGTACTGGTGATGCTCCTCGGGATAAATCTTAACTGCCACCTCTTGATCATGGAGCAGACCCTTCATCACAGTTCCATACTTGCCACTGCCCAGCATGCTGATCAAATTCATGTTGTCCACATTCCGAAGATTGGAGCTGTAGCCAGGACCCGATGGTGCCAGGGGCGATTCCTCCGGCTCCGGCTTCTCCTTGGCTGTCCGACAATACTGAACGGCCAGGAAGATGCCAATCATGAGGGCTGTGAGTCCGCCGGCCAGGCCCAGCATTGTGCTGGCCAAAAAGGATTGATGCTGCTTGGCAGTGGCCCGATTAGTAATTGAGTTCCTCGCATCATTGGAGCCCAGTTCCAGGGGAGCAGGTTCCACTACCGCATACTGGGCATTGCACAAATCCCCCGAACAGCAGCAGTAGTACAGCGAACTGGTGGTGGTTGTGGGCGCCGAACTGGTGCACTCCGATTGACTGCAGCGATCCGTGTTTTCCTCCCAGCAACCTGGAAATGGGACAGAATGAGTATCATGTTTTTGATTTGCAAACCACCAACTCACCCTGCTTTATAACTCTAGTGCCGTTGGCCGTCTGGTTCCAGAGGGTAAAGCAAAAGGTATAGCCTTTTTGGCAGGTGCTTTTATGTGATTCAGTGGGCACCGGAGTGGACTCAATCTGCTGCTCCTGCACTTCGCCACTCAAGTCCTGATCGCCATCATCGTCATGAAGGGAATTGTCGTTCTCCTGGAAGCTCATACAACTATACTGGCGATTCGGAACAGGTGCTAAACAAAGCAAAAAAATTCCATTCATAAATATTCCATAGATAATACAGTCTTTAAAAGGTACTCACATGCTTTGCCAAGTGAGATCAGAGCCAAAAGTAGGCAAGGCCAGCTATAGATAACCCAATTCATGTCTGCAATCCCTCGATAGACGAACTTCTAGATGATATTAGTGATCTGGATCACTGTGATTGACCAACTGCTAATCAATCTTACGGCATTTTGTACAACCTCTGAAAGTGCTAAAAGATCGCAAATGTTTATAAATATTGTTGAATATTGTGGTGTCTTCTTTATGAATAGAATCTACGCAGGAATTATCAACAGTCTGCGACACACTCTCGCACCCTCGTCATTACTCTCACACTCGGTTTGCGTATCAATAGGCGATGACAATTCCCGAGCTCAGCGACTTTATCAAGCCAACTGCCGGCGATAATGGCCAGACCCAAATACTCGCACACTTCCACCAACCCCAACCCGAACAGAAACGATCACGAAGCGTCTCCATCGAAGACTCTGTAGATCGCAGGGAGTCGGGGGAACTACGGGGAACTCCGAGCACCCACCCACTCCAAGTCTCAGGGGAACTGTTGCACTTTGGAACCCATTTGGAACCAGGCGCCGCCAGAATAAGCAAAATCATTTCAGTTGAGGTTCGACTGATTCGAAGAGGATCACGACTAGAGAATACTCGTATAGCTTAGAATAAAAATGGAATATTATGTTTTTAAAGCCATTTAAATATTGTGAAGTCAGTTCTATCTTTTTGTAAGATCTTACAGTTCATTTTTTAGTTTGTACGCTTATACTTAATGTGCATTTTACACATTGATAAGACTAATTTTAACTTTTCCCCACTATCATTACAGCTTATATACCCCTAAATTTATAGGTAGTTAAGCACGCATTTTCAAAGCCTTTCCCACTTTTCCCCTTGAACGCTGATTAGAAAATGTTGCCCGCATTAATTATGTGGGACTGGGTTTAACTTATTACGCTCTACTCCCCTTCAATTATAGGGTACGTAAGTATGTTCATATGCCTTACATACAAAACTATATAAATGTGTTTATACCTAGATGGTAACGAATTTGCATTGACGACATTTGGGTTAATTGTGGGTGACGAGGCATGAAATTTGAAGTAAGATAAGCTTTTTATCAGACAAGCCAGGATACACTTATCAAGCGATTATGAAATCTGCGCCTGCTATCTACGGTACTTATTTATGGCGTTTTTAATTCATGAACTTCTTATTTATGAATTAAAAATGCTTTTAATTGATTAATTTTTCTGTTAGGGATGGGACTTGAAGTGATCAATTCTTAAATTTTAAAATGTTTAAAAAAAGTAAATTTCTTTCGCAGTTTATCTGCGTAGTTTTATAGATAGTTTAAGCATTTCAAGTAGAATTTGAGTTAGTTGTCAAGTAGAATTTGAGTTAGTTGTCAGTTCGAGGTCATAGGGTTTTCTTTGTCTAAATTTTATTGCAAAAAAGTTTTTCTTGAGTGCCTTCGCTTTCGTTCTTTTACTAAAGTATAGACTTTATTTTATAAATGAAACAAAGATATAAGAAATTATAATACATGGAGTTATTCATCAAGCCATATTTGTATATCAGTGGCACATTATGGTGGTGTTTAACAATTTTCTGGCTACCTGTGATTTGCATTTATCACTTTTTTATAAGGAAGTATCGTCGTCTTAGTGAGAAACAGGACGTCATATTTGATTCTAAGGAGGAGAAGACGGATCCTTTAGGAAATAAGTCGGATTCTTCAGAAGGAGAGCTTGGATATCCAGGAGAGGAATCAGACTGCCCAGAAAGAGATTTAGGTAGTTCAGATGACAAATCAGAGTGCCCTGAACAATATTTATATTTTCCGGAAGACGATTTTGATTCTTTGGAAGAGCTCGAATCCGATTTTTTAGTTCCAAAAGTGGATGCAAACACAGCCGATCACAATTTGCGTGTAAGGCAAATTGGGAATCTCGTCCAAACCATTAACAGACAGCTGATAATTCTCCACGAGAAGTACACCCCGAGGACCCCTGAAGAGTGTTTCAATGCAAGGCGCCAGAAGAAGCTGTGGAAGATGCGACGCGGGCAGCGGTCCCAGGATAACTGATGCAATAACTTCAATCGAAAGCGTATTTTTCTATATCACCTTTTCATAGATTTTATAATTCCAAAATTTACTTTACAAATATAATTTTGACATTGCGCTATCTCAGCTCCCTCCCCCTTTAACCAATGATTCTGTTTTCTTCACCTTTCTCCACTTTTGGGGCATGCGCAGAAGAGAATCTGTGGAGAAAGAGAGCAGAGTCTCTGACGCGCCAAAACAGGTTCTACTGACGCTGTCTCAAGTGCTCCATGGAGTGGGGCGAACTGCGGGGCAGGAGGAGGTACCCGTCGGCTGCTCTCGTACGATAGCCAACGGCGCCAGTTAATTGCAAATACTGCTTGATACCCTACATTTGGTGGGGAGTAGCTGCTTGGCCAGCAAGACCAAGCTCATAAAAAAATATTTTAAACAGCATTTTGTATTGTCCGACTGTCTGGATTTATTGTGCAACAGGGAGAAAAAATGTATCATTTCGAAGAATTAGATAATACTTCTTATTAGACAACACTTATCACAAAAACCTTCGGTTTCTAGAAACGATCATTGTAAGTCACTGATTCATTCTGTTTGTATTATTAATCCAATGCTTTGACTTAAAATAACTTCTTAGGAAAAGTTCAAGGTACCAAACATTGCCATTAAATATTTAAGAACAATTCTTATAAATACATTTCGTGTAGGGCATAGAAATGTCATCGAGGCTCATTCCCCCATTTGGCTGCTGATGCCTTGGGTTCCCTCGCATTTGTTGTTGGTTCTTGGGGCCTGATTAACTTTTTGCGTGCTGTGTGCTGCGTGCTGCGTGTGCATTTGTCCATGTCCATGTCCCCATCCCCATACTCATTCCCATTCCCATTCCCATCCCTACAAGAATGCCAACTGCAGCCCGAGCGATTCGGGATTCATCTTCGTTCTACAGCTGCATTTGGCAAAACTGCTACATTCACAAAAAAAAGATGTAGAAAATCAATGCAAAAACACAAAAGTGCAAGCAGACTGGGAACAGCAAGAACAACAATGGTGGAGGGAATGTGAATGGGAATGGCCTCAGAGGTCTCTTGTTGACTTTTTTGTGCACCATGAAAAAATATGGGTATTTTTCTTGATTGGTTCGAAATTTACCTTTTAAAAATATTACATTTTTGAAAGAACAAATTATGGCTAAAGATTTCCAAAATTTTGTAAGTTCCTTGGGTCGTATAAAAGGAACTGTTTTCCTATCGAATAATTAACAAATCAATGGTATCTTATCAAAAACTTGAGCCTTAACCGACACTAAATTATCTCTATAAATTCAAAAAATGTGGAACCATCCTAAGAAACATGATCCTCTTACATAACAAATTCTTTTTAGACCGTTAAAATCTATAGTATCAGAACGCTTTTCTAAAACTTTTGAAGTCCCACAAAAAGTGGTCAACATTTGTTGTAGTGCATATTCACTTTGTGCAGACAGAGTTTTCTGCCAGGGTGGGTGGCCCACCGTCTGCCCTTCTGCTAGCCTGCGTATTTGTGTGTGTGTACTTGCGCAGAGTGGAGTAAAAAATTGATTTTTCCAAGACATTTTCCAGCGTTGTTTGCGGAAAACATTTGCACTACTTTGGACACCTTCAAAATCCACACTTACACTTAATTCAGGGCATTTTCTGCACTACACCTGCAGTTTAATTGCATTACTGATTCTTATATAGTCACAGAAAAAAGTTGCACACTCGCCGGAAAATTTATTATTGGGGCACCGGCGCCAGTCGCGTCTGCTCTTTTTTATATTTCCCTGTTTTTTTTGTGGCTTTTTTATGGCACTTTAAACAAGTTTGCTCGATAGGCGGGCCGTTTTTTGCCGTTTTGCCGTTTGATTTTTCGCAGCGCGCCACCTTCGCCCGCCGACTTTCGAGAAATGAATGCGATTTCGGTTTGGTGCTCTTCTCTCTGCTCTGCTCTCTCCCTGTCTGCCCCACTGCGACGTCGACTGCGCTGCTGGCGCTCATTTTGGGGCAGAAGCAGTAGAAGCAGTGGCATGCGTGTATTTACGAAGCTACGTGGAATGGAGGAGAGTCCGATTGGAGCGAGAGAGTGGAGCTGTTGGAGAGAGCAAACCAAAGAGAGCGAGAGAAACAGCTTTGAGCACTTGTTGAGCTTATTAAGGTGCACCGAAAAAAATAATATTACGTATACGCTCCAATGACCATTAGACCTAAAAAGTATTCTCAAAAGTAAATATTTTGAGAAAAACTTGTTAACTGTCTAAGAATTTGAACCAAATTCAGGATTACTTTTAAATAAACAATTAAAAAATAAATAGAAACTAATGAAACAATTACGGCATTTAAATATTAACTGGCTTATTAACTTTAAATGAACCCAAGCAATATTATGACCTGAGTTCAACTTTCTTTATTCAATGAAATTCTGCCATTCAAAAATATCCCTACTGCGGTACAGAGAAGGCGGGCAGCACCTGTCCCACACACTCTCCAAATCCAATGCGCAGTCCGTTCTTCTCACAGTGACCACGGATAATGACCTCGTCGAAGTCCTGCAGGAACTTCCTTGTCTTGCCACCCGGAAGCTCCACAGTTTTGGTGCCCTTCCAGCAGAGCTCCAAAAGTGATCCATATGAGTCTGGAGTCTCACCGGAGATAGTTCCGGAAGCCATCAGATCACCGGGTCGCAGATTGCATCCGGTGACTGTATGATGAGCGATTTGCTGCAGTGGCGTCCAGTAAAGGTGCTTGAAGTTGGACTTCGAGATGAGCGATTCGTTCTGGTCGGAAGCTTGAAATGATACATAAAGAAATCTACATTGGAAAAAGTCCTTTGAAGAAGTATTATCGTTTCGCGACTTACGTTTCAAAGACACCTCCAAATTGATATCAAAATTGAAGGGAATGTTCTGCCGCAGATAGGGCAGAACCTCTGGATCCTGAGGGAAGTTGTCTAAGAGGAATGGTTTAAGGGCAGCTGTGGGCACAACCCAGGGTGAGATGGTAGTTCCCATATTCTTTGCGGTGAAGGGACCCAACGGAACATACTCCCACTTCTGGATATCCCTGGCACTCCAGTCGTTCATCAACGTGAAGCCGAACACATTCTTCCAGGCCTCGTCTACGCGGATGGGTTCCCCAAGCTGATTGCCTTTACCTCCGATAAAGAAGGCCATCTCCAACTCAAAGTCCAGCAGTCTGCAGGCTCCGAAAACAGGTTTCTCCGCTCCTTCGGGAAGAGTTTGTCCCAGTGGACGACGGATGGGAGTTCCGGAAACCACCACGGAGCTAGCACGACCATGATAACCCACCGGCAAATGACGCCAGTTGGGCATCAGAGCATTATCCGGTCCTCGGAACATAATACCCACATTGGTGGCATGATGGATAGAGGAGTAAAAGTCCGTATAGTCGCCAATCTGAGCAGGCAGATGCAGCTTTATCTCCGACTGAGGTACAATGGAACTAAAATAAGAGGTAAAATACGATTGGTGTTAATTATGCTATTTGTATTATTAAAATAGTGCCCATATCACAAAGCCATACTCACACCGCCTTCAAGTCCACATTCTGATCCAGTTCAGAACCCTGTGCCAAAAGTTTTTGAGTCTGTGTCCTCACCACATCCCAAGCTTCAAAGTCCAGTCCCATAAGCTCATTCAAAGTTTCTGCCTGCAGGCTTTTCTGAACTTGGGGAGGATACAGCTGCGATACAGCTTTCAGATCCAGGACATGCTCTCCAATGGCCACACAAAGACGGTGAACTTTCTATGGGTGGTGACAAGAAAAACATCATATACGATATACAGATACGATATGATATGGGGCCTTATCAGAGCTGGTCGCTGGGTTATTAAAGATTGGATTAGCATATTGTTTTCGTAAACAAACTAGTTTGTGTTGGATGATGTATGCAAATGTTATGCCCCAAAGCGGTTTCTGTTCTAGAGTTGATTTCTAGAACATGTGGAACGGTCTCAAAGTCACATGGAAAATAAGGCAACTTTAGTAAAAATTGTAGTATATTACAATGTTTCAAAGATTTTAGTAACTTAGCTTAGGTGTCAGATGTCTCTGTTGGCTATCTCTATATTGTGTTCGAAAACAAAATGCTCATTTTCACTTTAAATTCATTGTTTGAAAACTATTTGACATCATATTGAGGCTTGCCTTTTAGGTACTATTCACTCACATTGTTGTCGGTTGAGAAGACAGCATAGGGGAGATTTTCCAGGGGAAAATCACTGCCTGCTGGCACTGGCACAAAACTCTGGGACATTTTAAAAGCACTCAAAGTGGAAAACTTGGGCAGGTGGGTGCGAATCAATAAACTAACGCAGAGAACCGAAAAAAATGTGCGCGGAGCCAGAGTGAGCTAGTTAACAACTGAGGGGTCTCCACTCCACGATCCGCTTTTATAGCTTTTCCAGACCCGAAGATCGCTCACTTCTCTTAAGAAAACCAAGCCCCCAAAGCAAAAGAGAACTCGAAACCTTATAAAGAGAAAAAAACACAGATTGCGCTTTGGTTACTTTTATTTACCCATATATTTATATATATAATATATTCATTTGCATTTATATAGATGTTGGAATAATTCTTGTTCTGGTTTTGATTTGGATCTCTGCAAATACATATACATTAATTTATACATACATAAAATGAGCGTGATGCTGGATAAACTTAGATAACACGCTTTAAAATACAATATATGTTTAATTTATTTTTATACCATTAATCTTTTATCATTGCTGAATTGACAAACGAGTTTTGTGCACAGGTGGAATGTAATATGTCTGATTGTGTTCTTCTGATTAGGGGCTTTCCATTCCAACCTTTCTGGACCAACAACTGCAAACTTAAAACTTAACTGAAAACAGAATCTTCCAACATTCGTAATTGAGTTTAATTGACACCGGGCATATATATTTGTCAGCCATTTGCTGGAAACTAAACTCCAACTAATTCGATTATACGTATTCATGTCTCTATATATAGCACAGTTCGATACATGGACTAAATGGGATCTGAAGCTCAGATCCCGTCTCTTTGGTTTTGTCTATACAATTAACAAGCACAGGTCTCTTTCGATCTCGTTTTTATAAAGGTACGCATGGCCATAGATATTTGCAAACAAAGAAAAATCAACGAATTGAACTAAAGTCCTTAACTCTTCTTCATCTTCTCCTGATATGTTAAGATAGCGTTCCAACAGTTTCTATATCGTATATATTTCGTAGTATTGAGTTTGGGGCTGGGACTGTTCCGTGTTTTTTGGTGGTGCGTGTGTGGGGCGGTGGCTTCTATGCTCTGAATTCTCTACCATTATTTGCGGTATACATATAGATATTCAAATATTACTTATACTCCTCTTCTCTCTGTCCTTCGATTTAGATATAGTTACCAACGAACGGAAATGAAACGCCTCGATTATACATAGTTTTCTTTTTTGTCAACTCCGGGACGAACGGATAACGACGGTTAACGAATAACGGTTAACGGATAACGGGATGAGAAATCGTAAAGGAACATCTAGCAACACGTTATAGATACAAACAAATGTACATTCAACATTGAACTCTGATGATTAGCGGGATCTCTATCCCCTGCCTCAATTTTCTGGTTTTTTCATTGCGGTCTCCTGATATGCTTTTACCTTAATGATACTTCTTGGTTGTGCGACGTGTCATTACCAATCCAAACCGAAACGAACCGAACCGAACCGGACTGAAACCCCTTACAAGTCGTCGCCCAGACGATGGATCTCTTCCAGCATAAAGTCCACATCCGCCTCGTTGACCGCCGCCGATGAGATGATCGAGCGGAAGAAGTTGGGTCGCCGATCGTCGGGCTGGTAGCCCACCATCAGCGTTCCCTTCTGCATCATGCGGCCCTTGATGATGGGGCAGATCTGCAAGGATAATGCAGACACATTAGAAATTAGTTTAGAATAGGCTAGAATATATATTATTCACATTTAATAACACATAAAAACTGATTTTGAAACCAAAGGGATATTACTTATAATAGTTTATTAAATTTCAAATAAATATTATATCTGCTAAGAATTTACAACCGTTAAACTGGTTAATCAATCCAAGTATAAAAGTATTGAAATAGCTGCATGCTAATATATAAACTTGTATTTTACAAAAAAATAATACATTTATAAGCCAATATCTTAATATATCAAAAATAATAAAAATTATAACGTGAACAAAAATAGTCTTTAAATTTTGAAACATTAATATATGAAATACAAAATTAAATGGTTTAAGACTATAAACTATGCTATATCTGGCTAAATAAAAGCCCAAATCTGGTCCTGGTATTTGTTTTTATCTGTATTATATCCCTTGTCTTACCTTTCCCAGCTCCACCTCCTTCTTGGCGTCGTGTGGTACTCCTCTCAGCCGCTTGGGCACATACCAGAAGGAGACATTGACGCACTCCGGCTCGAGGATCAGGTGGAAGCGGTCGGACTGCTCCCGGATGCGCTTCAGCTGGTACTGGACCAGCTCCATGAGGCGGTCCTGCTGCTGCTCGAAGCCCTCGGTGCCCTTGGCGCGCCACTGGAGCCACAGCTTGAAGATGTCGTTGTGCCGGCCGCACTGGATCACCTTGTCCCCGGTGTCGTAGCTGATGTCGTACTGCTTGTCGGTCATGAACAGATACTCCGCGGACATCTGGTTGCAGCTGATGAGGAGGCCCTGCGGAAAAGTAAATCGATTCGGGATGAAATCTCTCACTCGCACCACGTAACTCCGCGTCCATAAGTCAAGTTGAAATTTTAATTAAAATACCGCCTGCCAAAAGACGCAACTGTGACCGATGGTAACATATTGCATGGGATGTAAAAAAGTCAGGGTGACTCAGCCAAATGCGGCACGAGCTCG